CTAAAAGATATTTGCGAAAAAAAAACGATGGGTCAAGGTCCTAAAACGCATAGTAGTCGCATTTTTGACACAAGAGATTTCAAGGTTTTTAGAAAAAAGAAAAATCATTCTATTTGCTACTGCTCCATGCAAGGACGTTATTTCATGATATTATTGAGGGGTAAAAAATATTTTTGCCAGCTGACAAAGAGTGAAAAAGTGGGATAAATAGGAATAAATGATAGGTACAGAGAATCTGAGACAGATAGACGATAAAAAGAAATGCATATAAAGAAAATTAGCGAGAGATACAGAGAATGAGGGAAGTAAATAGGACAGACGAGGAAAAAAATGAAAGTGAAAGAGAGAGAGAGAGAGAGAGAGAATAAGAAAGAAAGAGAACCAAGAGAGTGAACCAACAGAGATCGGCCCTGTGGGTGAATGCCCCTGAAACCAAAGTGATAAACAGAGCCCGAGAGTAACAGAAAAAAAAACATAACAACAGTTCTCAGCAGCAGCCACGTCTTACCTCTCAGACCGCTGCGAGGTGACTGACGCGTGGTCCGCCTCGACGACCTTCAAGGACCACCTCGACTTCTCGTTCTCCTGTGCGCCCGAGAGCCTCAAGATCTCCTTCTCGGGGGGAGCTCTCGACGGGGAGTTCTTCCACTTCCAAAGGTTGGTAGGGATTCAGATTCTCTATTCATAATCATATTTATATCTATACACACACATGAACAAGGAATGTAAAATATTTCATTTATGATTATTTCTTTTACATAAATATGCACATATATATATGCATATATCTTGTTTTCGTTTTCGATTATTTAGCCAAGGATGCTCAGATGTATCATAACTATTTGTATCATATACTCCATATCGTTATGATTACAAGTAAAATAAAATATCTACCCCTTTTATTTACGATGGCGAAGAGTTCCTTACCATTAACAGCCATCGGAATGCTCTTGGGGAAAAAGTCTAAAAAGTCTATTTCATTTTTGGGATCAACAGGCAAAATAGAGGTGGAGTTAGTTGGTTGTGTACCTCGGATGCAATCAAGGGCTTTCTCTACCGCAAAGTATTAGAGCGAAGTTAGAGTGAAGGCAAATGTAAACAGACAGATGATAATGTGAATAGTATCTAGTCATAATCGTTGTACCTGTCAAGTAAATGTAATAAAGCAAATAATAACCTGATCATCAAATATGCATTTATGCCTAATATATGAGAGATAGGCTCGAAGTATATAACACATATCATATAACACATAGTATATAACGTAACACATTCTCACATCTCCGTTTCAACCTCCCGTTCAAAGTGTCCATCTTGAATGTGCTTTCTTGCATGTTTGTTCTCTACACGCTCGGAACGAAGTAGAACGTGTTCTTGTAGACTGGGGAACTCATCTGCAACTGATTTTTCATCTACAGGTTTCATGACTGGGCAAAGAAAACGTTTGCTTCTCCTCAAGTCCATTCTACTAATGTGGAAAACCTATTAGCATAGACTGGAATATTTTCCTGCCATGTGAAAGGAGTTAGTTGACACAGGCACGGATGGCTTTGAAGGACTGTCATAACACAAAAGGGGTTTCTTTTGAAAACCGAGTTATATGACTGTACGACTGTTCACAGGCTTGAATTGCATTCATAATGTCCGCACTGATACTAGGCAATACACTGTGTTCATCTTTCTTCGGTGGCTATTCTGTAAATAGTGCAAAGGCATGGTGTCGAAGGCTTTGGTACAAGACAGGGCTTATATAGGATATGGTCTCGATCGATATACAGTTCCTCTCGTATCTTCTACTGGGGACGGGTGATTTCTATATCGGTTCTGGGGTAATCCTTATAGTACACAATGGAATAATTCCAAGTAAACTGAATCCTCTTCCGATGCTTTCTGCAGTTCCTCTAAATTTTTGTGATCTCTGCCTTTTGAGGAGCTGGTGTCAGTTGTCTGGGAGGTAAAGAAGTACAAGATCCACTTGCTGGGATTAATGCAATTCAGCTTAGCTAGAGGTCACCGATCACTGGCTCCTATTTCAACCCAGAACTTGCCCGCTGCAGTCGCGGATCCACTACACAGAGGGATGATTGATTAATTACCTGTAGTCGCTGTGGTCAGTCATCACGCTTAATAATTAAAGCCATATAATTACTTATTAGAAAGTGAGGCTTCCCACACCCACCCATTTACAGCTATGTGTGTACGTCTATGTGTTTGTGTATGTGTGTCAGGGGGGGGGGAGGTCATCAGAGGCAGTTATCAATAATTACCTGTCAAGATGATTGCTAGTTCCGGTTACTTCAAAGTTGCCCAAGCAGGTTATGACAGGAAGTAGACGTGGTGAGCCTTCTGTGTCCATGTCTCTTAAAATGAAACCACTGGTTTGACTCATTGCCAACAGGGGTATAGTCTTTGAGCTCCATTCGAATCTCTTTTGGGTTTCACTGCACTCTGGAATATAAGAGAAATTCATTTAAGAGTAATTATAGCATCAGCATTCTATATGAGATATGTTTGGGTGCATGCTGCTTACCACAAAAGGTGTAGTGCCTGGATGATATGTAAGTAAAGGTTCTAGCTTTATGACCTGCTTTCTTCGTCATATAGTTGGAGACTGCCCGGGCCGAAGTCATATACTTTAATGTACAGACAGCATTTTTGACTGCTTATGTGCTCTACACACACCGAGGCCATCTTGGAGTGGCTGAAGGGGTCCATGTGGACGAGCTTCTTGGATGTATTATTCCTTATTTCATCCCCTCTTCCACGCATCGGTTGTCACAGGCCTCAGATAGATCAAATCTCTTCTGATGAACTCGTAAATGGCACATGGAAGTCTCCGAAACGTTCTTCCTTCCTGCAACTTGAATGTACTTCCCTGTGAAGAGCCTCATTACTCCTCCAACTTAACGAGTACATTTTACGCAGGGTATGCTGCAGTATTCCCTGTATGTGCTTGGACAGCCACATTCGTAACTAAACAATCTTCTTTTGTTGGGGCAAGCTTGGTATATCAATCATAGAATACTCTTATTTCTGTCTCCGGTTGAAGGGGTGGATGGTCTGAATGGTTGGCTTACATGACAAAGGGCTTGTAGAACTGCCTGACACAAAATGAGATGAGGTTTCGTTGATGGGATGAGTTGCAGAGAGATTAGTGTTGCATAAAATTTTCACTCTTTTTGCCCTCTTCTTTCCCTTTTTATCTACAGCCTTAGAGCTTCGTCTTGCCTTGTCTCTCACCCTTAGCACCCAGCCATTGTAGAAGGTCGATAGGGATAAAAGGCTGCAGGGGTTCTGTAGAGAGCTTAGGTGTGGCGAGAGGATTAGGAGCGGGTGGGTGAGGAGCCGCCATCGCCAGTGACGACCCATTTCTTGTCCTTGTACAGTAAATGTAGCCGGATTCTTCTTTTGTATCCTTACATTACAAAAATATGGTGCTTAGTATGTTCTTTGAGGCACGCGTGATCGTATCGTGAGCACAAGTGTGCGCTTGTGGTTGGAGCATCATAAATATGAGTTGATATCACTGTAAGTGGCTTTACTCATGATGAAACCGTTGACCATGTGACACGACACTTGATTAAATATAATATAATATATATAGTAGATTACTATTAATGTAATAATCTACTGAATGTTGACGACACCGGCAAAGCCATTCAACTTTTTCAGTATAAAATGTGAAGTAGAGAAAAAGTCATAAACAATACAACACAATCCTCTTGATAAATGAGCAATAAGACAATACTAAGTCATTCGACTTAACATATAAGAGTTAATGAATGAGTGAGAGAGAGCAGGGGCAGATGTAAGGGGAACCGTCCTTAGGAGGAAGGGAGAGCATGAAAAAGGTGGAGTGTGGAATAGGAGGAATGGAATAAAAACGGGAGGAGGGCCAGGAGGCAAGAAGCGAAAGAAGGATGAAGAGAGGAAGATGGATACGATCAGAGAACAGAGAGAAGCAAAAGGATAATGTATGAAATACGATTACAGACATATAAATATTATCACTGTTATGAATATACAAAAATATTAGTATTAAGTTACAAAAAAAAAAAATCCTATTCTGCTTTTAAACGGTTTCTCAAGCAAGCACACATTTTGGTCATAAAGATGCGAAGCTCACCCTTAACATCCCTCCTTCATTCACATACCATGTGGTTGCTGCTCTAAATTTAAAACGTCAATCATTCACTAAGCTTACACTTATTGTCTGATTGGAGGGTTGTAAGTGAGGGTAGTTCAGTCGTTCAGTGAGGTAGTCAGTTCAGCTTACATTATTATTGTCTGATTGAGGGTTGTAAGTGAGGTAGTTCAGTCGTTCAGTGAGGTAGTTCAGTTCAGCTTACACTTATTATTGTCTGATTGGAGGGTTGTAAGTGAGGGTAGTTCAGTCGTTCAGTGAGGGTAGTTCAGTTCAGCTTACACTTATTATTGTCTGATTGGAGGGTTGTAAGTGAGGGTAGTTCAGTCGTTCAGTGAGGTAGTTCAGTTCAGCTTACACTTATTATTGTCTGATTGGAGGGTTGTAAGTGAAGTTCAGTCGTTCAGTGAGGGTAGTTCAGTTCAGCTTACACTTATTATTGTCTGATTGGAGGGTTGTAAGTGAGGGTAGTTCAAAGGAAGAATGGATTTAGTTCTGCCGGGGTCAGTCTAGACGAATTCATCAGGTCTTACAATAGGTCCTAAATAGGCTATTTATTTTGCAATGAAATACAGAATCATCACCGTAGATTGTTACTAGGCTATTATTAAAAATCGAAGGTAGATTACGTGCTATTACATCTCTTTTCATACAACCAACAACTTGGAAATGACATAATGACGAGAACAAGAAAACACGGCATATTTGACTTTCCCTTCGTTGTTTTTGGTGCAATTTGCTGTGTGTTTGCATATTGTGTCTATTTGTTTGCTTGTATTTTGTGTGGGTGCATGTGTGGAGTAATTACCGCTTACCAAAAGAGAAAACAAATGTAAAGAGCAGTTCTTTACCGCGA